TGAAATCGCGCTGCTGTCAGTGACGCGGAAAACGGCGTAGAACCGTCATCGGACTGTGAACGAAATTTCCAAGTTTCCTTTCAAAACTCCACCACTTAACGTCGCTTAATATCGCGGAAGCATAAAGAATTGAATCCCTTTCGCCGCTTCAAGAATGATACAGTTAACCTCCTCGACAAAAGCCGTAACTTTACGGATGACACGAAGACATTCCTCGAACGGAAGAGGGAATGTCGATATTTAATCTTCGTTGTATTTTTCTGAAACGTCGCTCGGTGTCTGAAGATTTTGGGTCTCGAAGTCGCGGGAAGTTCGCGGTGGCCAACGAGCTACGGAAATTGGGAGCGGCGAGGGAACTAGCGAAACTACTATTCAGTTTATCGCTCAGAACACGATCACGATTAATATTGCTGTTTCGGACGGATACGAGACACGCGATAAGCCTGCCACGTTGCTGAATGTTAACTGCAATATCGTGTCAGACCGCTGGTAAATTGACCCCACCTAGTTACAAATACTTCATTCGAGAAGATCGAGTACATTATAGACCACCGTTTAGGCACCGTTGAATTTCTTTATTTCGGTAAATCGGGTTGGTAGAGGTCGCTAGTGTCATCGGTGCCGCCATCTTGTTTATACTGAAACAATTCGCAGAGATTCAGTTATCCCGTTCATTATATCAACGCGTTTCCCATTCCACGATAAAGGAACAATTATAATTTCTCTCCGCTGTGGGGATGTCTGTAAAAATGTCCGACAAAAAGCTCCACGCTGCGAGAAGACCGACAGTCACGAAAATGGAATCCGACTTACGAACGCAACCGTGAAAATATCGCTTAAGGAATGAATTGAAACCACCCTTGTATTTATGACCGGGGTAGTTTTAAAATATAGTCATATTATAGTTATTAGTACTCGTGTCTAGCCTTAGTATTGTCTCTAACATAGCAGCACTAATAACTATAGTGACGCTACTTGATATAGTAGCAGTTCTACTCTACTAGTAGTAGTAGTAGACTACTCACTGGTGCCTCTAGAGGTTCTACCCACTCGGCATACAAATCCCATCTGCTCCTATAGTCTCTATACTCGATACAAACACAGCATAAGTCATACATACAAATTTATAGTCGTATCAAGACTATAGCAGTGGAGAACGTACACTCGTACAATATGCATTCGTCGTGCGAACAGTTTATTTCGAGTTTGCCTTCTGTTCAGCTCCCTCGCGAACTCCTCCTGACACAGGCTACTTATTTTCGCCGGAGAAAAAGAAGAAGAAACTCTAACGGAGCAACATTAACAACGAAAAGATTTATGCGCCGGGCTCTCGCGATGTTTCTTCTTCATTTATGTATCTTCCGTGTTGCGGCGACACGTGAAAAATTCATGGCCGACGAATTTTTCACGACAAAACGGCACACGGCGATGTTCGAGCGGAATCATTTTTGATTTCTCTCGTTTTTCTCCGCCTTTCCCGCATTTTTATCTTCTGCGAGGTACGTTTGCACTTTGGTTACAGTCGAGCTTATTTTTATGGATATAAGTTGCGTGGAGAGGAGAACAAGATGGAGGTAGAGAAACAAGATGGAGGTGAAGAAACAAAATGGACGTAAAGAAAACAAGATGGACGTAAATAAACAAGATGGACGTAAAAAAACAAGATGGACGTAAAGAAACAAGATGGACGTAAAAAAACAAGATGGACTTAAAGAAACAAGATGGACGTAAAAAAACAAGATGGACGTAAAGAAACAAGATGGACCTATAGAAACAAAATGGACTTAAAGAAACAAGCTGTACTTAAAGAAACAAGCTGAACTTAAAGAAACAAGATGGGCTTAAAGAAACAAGATGGACATAAAGAAACAAGATGGACCTATAGGAACAAGATGGACTTAAAGAAACAAGCTGTACTTAAAGAAACAAGCTGAACTTAAAGAAACAAGATGGGCTTAAAGAAACAAGATGGACATAAAGAAACAAGATGGACCTAAAGAAACAAGATGGCCCCAAAAAAACAAGATGGCCCTAAAGAAAACAAGATGGCCCTAAAAAAACAAGATGGCCCTAAAGAAACAAGATGGCCCCAAAAAACAAGATGGCCCTAAAGAAAACAAGATGGCCCTAAGGAAAACAAGATGGCCCTAAAGAAAACAAGATGGCCCTAGAAAAACAAGATGGCCCTAAAGAAAACAAGATGGCCCTAAAAAAACAAGATGGCCTTAAAAAACAAGATGGCTCCAAAAAAACAAGATGGCCCAAAAAAAACAAGATGGCCCTAAAAAAACAAGATGGCCCTAAAGAAAACAAGCAAGAGACACGCGTTCCAAACACGGGTAATAAAAGGAAAAGGAAGAAAGTAGTTTGCGAGACGAAATGGCTGTTATGGGTTGTCTGTTCAATGCGAATAGTCAGCGTTGGGAAGCCGCGAACGTTCGAGTTTTACCAGTCGGAAGCTGTTTCGCGAAGACTTCGCAACGTGCCGTCCCTGTTTGCGGTTTGCACGACCGCCCGCTTTCGAAAAGCCCTCTATCTCCCGCTTCGATCGAGCTCCCGAACTTCGTCTTCTTCCGTTTCTAATCTACCCCTTAAACAAGATGGCCCCCAAAAAACAAGATGGCCCCAAAAAAACAAGATAGCCTTAAAAAACAAAATGGCCCTAAAGAAAACAAGATGGCCCCAAAAAAACAAGATGGCCCTAAAAAAACAAGATGGCCGTAAGCAAATCTAGCAAGAGACACGCGTTCCAAACACGGGTAATAAAAGGAAAAGGAAGAAAGTAGTTTGCGAGACGAAATGGCTGTTATGGGTTGTCTGTTCAATGCGAATAGTCAGCGTTGGGAAGCCGCGAACGTTCGAGTTTTACCAGTCGGAAGCTGTTTCGCGAAGACTTCGCAACGTGCCGTCCCTGTTTGCGGTTTGCACGACCGCCCGCTTTCGAAAAGCCCTCTATCTCCCGCTTCGATCGAGCTCCCGAACTTCGTCTTCTTCCGTTTCTAATCTACCCCTTCAAACTTCCGCCTCTTATCGCAGCCAGTATTTGCCAATGGAAAGAACTTCGTTATCGCGAGCGTTCGCAATAAAGAAAAGTGTGCTTTGCAATTTGCTCGGTGGGGTGTTAACGCACTCCTTCCCGATACCCTCTTTTCACCGGCCTTTGACCTCCCGATAAAAATGCTAGCTTCCCGTGGAACACCGATTGTAGCTGGAATAGAATCATAGCGAAGATGGGGTGTCAAGTGTTAGCGAGCTAACGTGTTATAGTTGTAGCGACACGAAGCGTCATAATGAACTAGGGGCGTTCTAGAACAGCCGTAGGTGGCTGATGTTACCGAGCTAGAGATGATAGTTAACCGATGAGAATATGTATCAGCAGTATGGTAGCGCGGTGAGAATATTAATCATACCGGGCAGCAAGTAAGAGTGTCACAGATGAGGATGACGATGGACTTGGCAATGACACGGTGCAGTTATAGTTGGGTGAATGGCAAGAGCGACAATGACCTTGCGGGAGCACATGCAAGGTAGAACGACCAATGTGGTAATTGTAATACAATGGAAGAGTGGCAGTAGGGCAGCGACGTATATAGCGAATGACCTAGGGTCGCCTAAGTCTTAGATTCGTGTAGCAACTTTCATCCCCCAGTTTTCCGGAGTTCCAGGAAAATTCAGTTAGGTAACCGAATAACATCGGGTTGATACGTCCATAGTCAACAATGCGTTAAGACCTTGAGCCACCTCCCTGTCAACACGCCACGTGGAAAAACAGAAGGGTAATGGAAGGGTAGTATCCAACTTCCGTCGTCTGGATTCCCGTGAAAATTGTCGAGACCAGAGGGCAGCCAACAAGTTGCCAACAGTGAATCGATAGGGAGGAGCGCGTCGAGGCGTGACTCGTCTAACCTTGCCCTCTTCTTTTTTTTTTAACCCGTTTCCAGTCATCCCTCGTTCCCGCGAGGCAACCTCTCGATCTCTCTGCTTCTCACGTACTTACCCTCTCTACTTTTCCCCCCGCTTCGCCCCTACTTAGCCTCGACCCTCCACTTTGTTCCACCCTCGGCGATCTTCGTCTTCCTTTAGCGATATCTTTTACCCCGCCGAGCTTCTGTCTCCTTCAATTTCCGACCTACCTGTCCCTGTTTCTTCTTCTCGCCCTGAGAGCTTCTCCAGCCTCGGGGAATCTCGAATATCCTCGAGGAACCCGCTGGGTAATTGAGTTCTTTTACATCGCACCGTCGCTCCGAATCCCGGAAGCGCCTCCCAAAACGAAGGGTGCGTATCGATTGTTCCCTGCGACGATTCTTGCCCTTCTAAACGCTGCGCGCTAAACCCTCTGGGAGTATTCGTTTATTTCGACGAACCTTGCATCGACTTGAACTACTTCGGGCTTAAAAACCTGGGACTCCTCGAGTGAAAACGAATTGCAAATTGAGGGAAAATAGTGGAACTGTGGTAAATTCGGAAGTGAAGTACACTGCCTTTGAATATACAGCAGTCCAACTAAAATTCCTTAAAAGCGTCCCGATAAAATCGAGGACATCGAAAGAGACGTAGCGTTACCGAGCGAACAATCTCGGAATCCCGAATGTATCGACGGATAAATTCATATTTCATCGGAGCGACGTGGGGGCCATCTATAAGAGGAGGGTGACCGTGGACGAAATATTTACAAAGCGAATAGCTTGACACGTTAGCGGTATCGGTTCGACAGGGAATCTTTCATTTCGCGCGTGTCCTGGGGTAGCCACCCTTTGGGACCTGAAAGGCAGCCATGGTTTTTGCATACTCCGAGTAAACGATGAAAAGAAGCAACGGCAGAGCCGACGTTGGGGGATAAAATGTTTCTTTTCTCGGAGATACGCTTGATTTATTGATCGCGTTCTTTGCCGCTAAGTTTCCCTTTGTGTTTTACTGCACCCCTCGTCATATCGTTGTTCCTTTTAAGTCTCCCTCCTTTAAGATCGCGTATTATGACCCCGTCGGTGTGTATGTTTCAGGAACTTACTTCATACTGTACGACTTCATCGACTTCTTCGAGAAGGACCAAGCGAGCTTCCTGGAACGCGACAAGTTTCTCACCATCATCAACACCATCTTCAAGAATATGTCTCAGATCGAGCGGGAAGCCATTACTTTCCAGGTGAGTCATTATTCGTCCCGAGCTAGAATAATCGGTATCGAAGTACAATCCCGACACGTCCGTGAAAACAAGGCATTCGGGAAAGAAAAACTTTCGAAATCGTTGCAGTTTGTCACACAGGGCTTAGAAACTCGCCTTAGACAGTCGATATTCCGCTCACGTCGGGCCAAGACACATCCAGCGGATGGCGGTATAAGGCTGCAGTAGTAACGGACCGCGCAAGTCAGACGGCCCTGCACTTTGTACCGCTCTCAGCGAACCAGTGGTAATGGAAGACAGGAGTCAGACACGGGACTTGAATATTCCATGCACGCCGTATTACATTGGACCCCGGGAATTTTCATAACATTCTAGTTTCCCGGGTTACTCCGCATGCTCGGAATCCTCGCGTTCCATCCGCTTTGACAAAGATTTTCCTCGCCTCTTAAAACATTGCTCAAAATTTCCTGCGAGACTTCGACACTCCACTGTAGGCTACTCTGGTAGGCTCTGTAGGCTAGACTCCCTATCTCTGGGGATCCCTAGATTTATAACTGTGATCTCTATCGTCAAATCTGGGCTCAGCCACTATTGGTAGAGTCATGATCATAACTCCTTGGGTTCCTAATGATTCCTAGGTTCCATATCCTGCAATCAATTTCTGGGTCCACATCATTAATTCCTGGGGATTAGCATAACTCCAGGTCGCGATAACTAGGACGCATCCATTATTTATAAGGATTAGTCCCAAATCCTCGTTAACTTCGCAAGATCCTTCAGTGATTCGCAGATCGCTAGTTCCCTAGGATCATTGTCCTCGGTCGGTAAAGAAGATCAGTGCTATTTAATAAAATATCTCGGGAGCAGATTAAAAAATTGTTCGTTATTGTTCCCGTAACGAGTCACCGTATCGCGGAAAGGAAGATTGACAAGGCTCGACTGAAGGATCGAAAGAGGGCATTTCTTCCGCGTGGAAGTTCTGATAAAAGTCCCCCGTGTCACCGCTGCCCTGTTAATATTGGAGGAAGAATGGCAGCCCAAAGGCTGGGAAGCACGTCGGAGTCGTTGAGAAACTTCCCGGCGTTATAGTCCGAACACTGTAACGCTCTTTCCCTTTTTTCATTCCGCGAACGCAAAGTGCTCGGAAGTTTAACAATGTGTTCGCGAGAAGTCGTGTGGAAAAAAAGTTTGGGAAAAATTAATTTGAATCCCTTCACCGTACGAATTTCGTGTTCTTTTTAATTCGGAAAGTATCACTTTGGTAGAAACCGTGTCATTTTAGAAGAATATGTTTGTGAAAGTTGAATTTTTATCGGGCTTTTGGGAAAACCTCGCAGTGATTTTACAGGTGTTCTGGCGACAGGTGGGGCGAATCGACCCTTGGGAAATTTAGAAACGTTAATTCTCCGTTCGTTAGCTGTCCATTGGGTGTCATAGATATTAGCCCCGTCTGTCCTGTATTATTCGATATTTCAATTATGAACGCGAATTCGATCGACAGACGGGGGTGAATAATTCGGGCCGTCCTTCGAGGCCACAATCGATTCTCCAAAAGTAGAAATTTATAACCTAAATTCGCTGTCCGCGATTGTCCCGAATTAGACTCCAAATTAGCGAAGTAGAAATTCTATTCTTGCATTACCATTCAATCTTATTCGATTCCCAGCGGTGACATCGCAACACGGCGAAAAGCCAAACACCCTCCCTCGTAGGTGGAAAAAGTTTGAGGGAAATCGATCGGTCGAATCTAAGGGGATATTCAGGGTCGAAGGTCCCAAAGGGTCGCTCGAGGGGAGGTTCGATCAGAAGTTTTTCCACCCTCTTAAAACAAACGAGTTGGTAACCACACAAAAGGGAAGTGTCCAAAAACAAGGGCGGTTCGCTACTAATCAATATCGTTGTGTACACGGTTAATGTCACCCCCTCCCTCCTGGAAGGGGTGGTTCTATGTGAGGTCGCCGCTAATTACTTTCCTGTCGATGATACGTCGCGTCAAAGCTACCTCGCCGTGGATCAGGGTTTGTAAAACCTCGAGCGAGCATCCATTTAATTAAGCAGCGACATGTGCGAGGGGGTGGCAGGTGCACCAGGCTGGAAAATTGAAATTGGAAAGGGCTGTCTGTACGCTGAAGATCTGATCTCTTCAGACATCCGTTTTTTCTTCGTTTTTTAAGGGAACATCGCTGTACAGGAAGATCCTTTGGTGAAAAAGGGGTTGCTCGAGGCAAACGGATGAAAATGAATGGACATCCGGCGACAACATTTTTACGACGTTGCTGGATGTATCATTAACGTTAATAAACTTTCCTTATCTCGAACTTCGCTGTTAGCGCATTAGGACTTAATTTCGATCCGACCCAGATACGCTATTCTTTAACTTTTCGATCCTTAACTTGGACTTTGGGTCTACATTACTAGTTTTAAATCCTCTTAAAACTTGCCTTAACCCTTAAATGCATATAGTTGTATAAATGCAACATACCGGTTTTAATCTTATAAATTATATACAAAATGTAGGAAACCTGCAATGAGTTTTAATTTGAATGAACCGCTTTCAAGGTATTTTGTTAGTTGATAACTTTTGGTAAAATTAGAAAATCATGCATTTAAGGGTTAATATCAAGTCCAAATACTTATGGTTGGGTTAGATTCCTTGTTTAGAATACCTCTCAATATTTACGAGGATAATTTCTGTAAGATTTCTTAAACTGAACGAGTTCGTATCACGCGCATGCAAATGTTTACCTCCGCCGGTTTCATAAATACGATGCTCCAATATTCCCGGCCAAATCGGACGCAGCTCGCGTAAATATGTATGCACCCTCGTTTCCGGTGAACCAGCATTCTTGAGCGCGACCCTTGCACCCCTTTCACGGCTAAATAATGGGGCCATGAATATTCAGCCTTTAATTTCTTGAAATCTATGAATCCGAACCCTTAATCGAAGGAACGAATTCGGTGACACAGAATCGAATCTCTCTTTGTGCTTTGCCGGGGAGTAATGGGACGTTCCTTTTCGAATCGAACACCCCACAAGGAAATCGACTCTTTAACGAACATTCGGAGCTGGAAGTATTTTGAAACAGTTTTCATGCTTCGAGAAATGCTGCTTTGATGTTCTCGTTACATTACGTGCCTCGCATGTATTTAACGTCTACAGAAATACCAACTGGGTTAGGTGTAACTTGCGGGTTAGGTTGGTAAATAATTAGGTCAGGTTAAAAAGTATGATTAGTCGCGTTAGATCAGAATCAGCAAGTCAGTTATGTCAGATTATCTTAATGTTAAATCGAAGTTCACTATCGCTTTCGTTACAAAGGTCGTTTAATCTTTAAAGTCATAATTTCGAAATATTTCACCATCGCGAAATTCATTTAACGCCAGCCGGGCGCAACAAGTACAAAAACGAATAACATCGCCTCTAAATTAAATGCAAATTAATTAATCGTGAACGTATCAATTTCAACCTAACCTATATAAACCGCGCGAAACTCGATGATCAAATATTAAAACAGGTGCGTAATCGACGTTTCCGAGAACGTAGTACGTCGCTCGTAATTACGGGATTAGGTAATCGCGAGAGGGGCAGGAAAAATTGAGCGAGACATTTTCTACAGGTGGCACGTCACGGACGACGAAGGCAGAGATAAAAGCCCGTGCCGAAAATTGATTTCCAACAAGGTGGCCGCATTTACATAGACCGCCCCTGGCTCGCAATCCGTAGCCACCCGTCCCTTTCTTCGCCAGGGTGGCCACCACCCCCGTTCTGCTCGCATTTCAGCCGAGCACGATTTGCATTCCCCCGGGTCCGACTTTTGTCGAACACTTTCACGAGCCGCTGCACCGAAAATATTTCGACACCGGAACCATCCGGCCGAAATTTTCGACCAACGTCGTTTCTCCATCTTATTTCGACCTATTCCATCGAAAGAGGAACGAATTTTATTCTTCAATTCTATAGTCGCTATATATTATCTTATCCGTTGGGTCGCGTTAGGTTAGGTTGCTTTACAGGTTAGGTTATATTCTTGTTCTGATTGTCAGCCACTTTCTGGTGTCACAATTGTATTTTAAGGTTAAGGAATTCAGAGGTTAGGTCACTTTACAGCTTTACTAGTTAGGTTATATTCTTGTTTTGATTGTCAGCCATTTTTTGGTGTCACAATTGTATTAGAAGGTTAAGCAATTTAGAGGTTAGGTCACTTTACAGTTTTACAACTTAGGCTATATTCTTGTTTTGATTGCCAGCCATTTTCTAGTGTCACAATTGTATTTTAAGGTTAAGGAATTCAGAGGTTAGGTCATTTTACAGCTGTACAGGTTAGGTTATATTCTTGTTTTGATTGTCAGCCATTTTCTGGTGTCATAATTGTATTCTAAGGTTAAGGAATTTAGAGGTTAGGTCATTTTACAGCTTTACTAGTTAGGTTATATTCTTGCTCTGATCGTCAGCCACTTTCTGATGTCACAATTGTATTTTAAGGTTAAGGAATTCAGAGGTTAGGTCATTTTACAGCTGTACAGGTTAGGTTATATTCTTGTTTTGATTGTCAGCCATTTTCTAGTGTCACAATTGTATTTTAAGGTTAAGCAATTCAGAGGTTAGGTCACTTTACAGCTTTACTAGTTAGGTTATATTCTTGTTTTGATTGTCAGCCATTTTCTAGTGTCACAATTGTATTTTAAGGTTAAGCAATTCAGAGGTTAGGTCACTTTACAGCTTTACTAGTTAGGTTATATTCTTGTTTTGATTGTCAGCCATTTTCTAGTGTCACAATTGTATTTTAAGGTTAAGCAATTCAGAGGTTAGGTCACTTTACAGCTTTACTAGTTAGGTTATATTCTTGTTTTGATTGTCAGCCATTTTCTAGTGTCACAATTGTATTTTAAGGTTAAGCAATTCAGAGGTTAGGTCACTTTACAGCTTTACTAGTTAGGTTATATTCTTGTTTTGATTGTCAGCCATTTTCTAGTGTCACAATTGTATTTTAAGGTTAAGCAATTCAGAGGTTAGGTCACTT